CCACCTTCTGATTGACGCATGAGAGATGAGAAATAAAAACAGTGGTGCTTTAAAAATGAATCTCAGCTTATAATAAAAATAATAATAAATTGTAACAACCTTTAAAAAAAACAGAAACTCCGGATTCCTCTGTCCCTAAAACGTCTTCACCCGACAAAAATCTGATTTCCATCCTTTTCCATCCACACCAGATGAAATCAAACATGTTTGAATGTTCGATCTGAATCATTTAAAGTCGTCTTTTCTGTAACGATGAATATATCTCGACTGATAGAACACAAACCCTGAACTCAAGACGCCATTCAGAGCGACATCACGACGCAAAGAGCCGCAGAAACGCACGGGAAACATCGACAAAGTGAAGCAAAGATAAATATGTAAAGTCATTCTTCTTGAATGTTTCTGTAAAGAGGAACCTGTTGACGTGTTTGAAGGCGGGAAACGTGGAGAATACAGTCAAACTATCAGTCACGGTTTACCCCGGGTTTAGAGCGATCTGTCCATATCATCAGACATTAAGGAAACATGTTGAAGGTTGAAGGTAGGCGGGTTTAAGGCGAAACGTGCTCAAACTAGGATCAATATTGGAGATGCTTTTGAAAAATGGAGAGAGGTTAGAACACAGAAAGGTTTACAGACCCATGCAGAGCTGGATAAACACTGAAGCTTCAGAGTCCACCACATGGTGACCTGAGTGAGGGGGGGGGGGGGGCAGCTCTCTATAATGTTTAGACTGCAGTACCCATTTTAAACACCAGGGGGCAGAGTTACATACTGCTCCTTTAATTCTAACAAAAAGATCATATTGTTATATACAGTTTTGACTACGGAAGCCCTAAGTGGACATTTTTATTGAACTCAGATGTTCCATGATAAAAAGAGAATTTCAGTTTTGTTGAGATCTCAAGAAATGAACTCTTAATGACAGGAAAACGAGCGTTGTCGTCCCGAGATAACCAGATAATTAAGTCAACAAAACGTCCTCATGAAGTCATAACCACGGGAGAATGTCCACTCAGGGCTTCTGTATCCACCTGATTTATTTATGTTTCCCTTTTTGTAACATTTTGACATCATTCTCGATGTTTTTAATTGAATCTCAACATCCAAATGAATAAATATCACTCCAGTGGGAAAAGGTTGAGAGAAGGAAAGTTATTGGGAGGAAACACCCTGAAGTGACCTCTTTATTCGGGGTTATTGTTCCATTTATTGACTCAACATGACGAGTTCAGGGCGTCAAATTAAGTCTTAAAAGATTTATTTTGTTTTCAAGCGAAGCGGAACACGCTGGCTAAGTAACATGATCCGTCCGCTAACATGTTAAAGGGTTAAAACAATCCTTATTCAAATCTGAACAGTAACACATGACAGCGCTGTTCTCCGTCCTGTCGCTAACTTCAACGCAGTAACACTTTCATCCAACACGTCTGCACAGAGCGACTTCCCCGTCCTCCGTTTCATCACTTCCTGTTTCAAATCCGTCTCAAATATTTTATAATCTCTGACTGAGCTCGCCGGCTGCCAGCGCCGACTACAAAACAATCTTCACCCTCAAACTAAAACAACCCGCCATCGTGATCCGCCTCCTCATCTCTGCGATGTGAAGTCTCGTAACAAACACAATCGATCCGACAGAGCTGCAGAGAAACAACAAACTAAAACAGGCTCAAAAACAACGAGTGATCGAGCGGAGAGGAAACGTTTGTTTTTGTTTTTTAGAGTCGATTTAAAACCTGCAGAGTTGATCTCTATCTACGACAGCAGCAGCGTCCCAGACTGACCTGCAGGGGGCAGCAGTCAAATCTGAGAGCCCCTCCTAAACTCTCAAAGTTTTAACTCCACATTTGGATTTTTTGTAACGTCATAAAATGATGTCAAATTAAAGGGACAGCGTCATCTTTCAAACTGCTGAACTCGACCTCATTCATCTCCGTCTGATTGGTGTGGAGGCGAGTGGAGGGGGGGTTGTAGGTGGAGGAGGCGTGGCCTAACAGCACAGTTTGTTTTGGTTTCGTGCTGGAGCTCAAGGGCGACCTCTACTGGATGACAAAGTCGACACATTCTTCTTTTCATAAAAACTGTAAAACCTGAAGGTGTGATGGTTTTTAAATCGAGGCCGGGGGACAAACATCATCCAAACACACACTGGACACATGCAGCCTGTTTCAAAGCTGCTGCTCTTCTTCTTCTTCTTCTCTTATTTTAAATATATATACTTTAAGATATAATCTGACACATTATTTACACACAGGCTGAGATCACTTTGGATTAGAAAATTAAACTTCTTCATCATCACAATAATCTCAATAAGAAGATTTATTTTTTTGTTACTTAAAAATATGCCACTATGCTCCACCCCTGGGCGGGGCTTAAAAATATATATCTGGCAAGTGCAGGTGGGGAGGGCGGGGCTTATGGCTGTCAATCACAGTGACCGGGTTAAAGGGAAATTTGCCACACACAAAAAACTGCATTTGTTTTGTTTTTTTCCTGCTTTCAGACGATTGTTTTTATTATTTACCGTAAAATCTGGAAAAGAAGTCGCAGCCGGATTTCTCAAACTGATTTATTTACATCACAGAATACCTCGGCTTTCTTTAAAGGCGCCGTTATGACCTCATGAGGACGTGCAGTGGGTGATAGTGCTGCACATGCACGTCTCAGCATATTATACTGGTATACTGGTCTTACAGGTATCCAGTACAGCCCACTCTAGATGTAGAAACTGGTTTTAAACGTCTTATTCACCAGATTTGACGGTAAATCTCTTCTTCGACAACGACAGAGATTTTACTGCTGAAACAGCTGATTTCATCACAATCATCACTTCCTCTTAAAACGGCCCCTATGCAACACACACACACACACACACACACACACACACACACACACACACACACACACACACACACACACACACACACACACAACACACACACACACACACACACACACACACACACACACACACACACACACACACACACACACACACACACACACACACACACACACACACACACACCTGAAACGCGGCGCTGCAGAGACCTTTGTTTTTTTTTTGCATCTTTGGGACGATTTTTAAAAAAAGCTTCTTCTTTTTTTCCCTCCCAGCTTCTTTCATCGACATTTCCTCGGACGCAGCGTTGTGTTTCAGACCTCAGGCTCGGCGATATAAACTCTCTGATGAAGTTTTATATCACAGACTCTTCTAGCTGGCAGTGATGGAGAAGTTCAAACATGGACTGATTACCTGTGATCACATGAGACACCTGTTTCTCATGAGCTGAAAATATGAACCGCTTTAAGTTTTCATTATTTGAACTCAGGTGATTCTAGTGATGAACATTTGAACTTCATGCACACCTGAGTCTGGGATTTTTACCCCCCAAAAAGCTCCATACTCTGCCTGTGCACGACTGAGAGGATCGTTTGGTGGATCAAACTGAGACGATGTCAGAACTTAAAGTCACATTTCTGTGGTTTGACACAGTAGATGTATGTCCATGTTATTTTGGGAGCGGTGCATCGACCATGCACAGGTGAATGAATTAACAGAGTCGTTTTTGGAGGCTCAGAGAAGAGATACAAGTTCAGTGATTCATTTTCATGATGTAGAATTTAAAGAAAATCTGCACAAAGTGAGAAACAGAACATAGGAACGCACGCTTCTTCTAACTCGTCTCTGGGAGGGGAAACTCTGACTGAGAGGTTGTTCTTGTGGCCTTTTAAACCAAATGTAGCTTAGTTGTAATCGTGGCTGCGTCTCTCCTTAAAGTCTTAATCTGTGATTTTTCACACTTAAATAGAAATCAAGTCTATCCTCTGAAAATAACTCTGTGAGTCATGACTGTCTACAATGGGTGTAACACCCGAGTCCCACTGTCTGTGATGTTTTCAGAGTTTTCAGAGTCCTATCTTCACTTTGTTTACATCGCCAGGACGGCCGGCTGACTCCTCCCCTCGTGTATAAAAGTTGTTTAATTGAGGGACTAGAGAAAAGAAGAATAACATACTGTACTCACTGCTTAACTGTGTTTCTAGATCACGCTCATTTCAGGTAAATTTACATGCAGTGTGAAGATACCAGCAGAATAAAGATCGCTAGCATTAGCATGCTAACACAACAATGCAGCGTGAGTTGTTTTGGTTTCATGCTGGTGCTCAAGGGCGACATCTGCTGGATCAAAACATCACATATAAAGCCTTTAACTGAAAGTCAGCATAACTGTGATGACAGGATGACTGCTTCAAGCAGGATCCAGTGTTAACAGACTTTCTGATTCATGTTGACGTTGAGTCCAGTTTAACGTTGGGTTAGGGTGTCGACCTCTCAGTGTGCTCTGTGATCACAGGTAACTTGGGGGGGGGGGGGGGGGGGTCACTCCTGAGGGGCTTCATTTGAAAAAAACATTCAACCTGCTTTTGTGGACATAAAACTAGAACTCTTCTGATTGGTGCACACGGGTGCAGGCCGGTTTTGGTTCTGAGGAGAATCTCACAGCCCTTTCTTTTGTCTTCAGGCCGTTAAATTGACATCTGTGACTTCATTTTTAAAAATATATATAGACCTTTAAATCATGGCTACGTTCCTGTCAAAGTGGCGCAGAGAGCAGAGGCGGCGTTGGTCAGCGGCCTCTGACTGCTGGTCGTTTGGGGGGTGAAAGAGTCCGAACCAGTCGTTTGTGGTCTTTCCTGTGAAGCTGAGGGAGGGTCAGCCCGGGTCACCGCGCAGCCCGGGGCGCAGCACGGGTCACCGCGCAGCCCGGGGCGCAGCACGGGTCACCGCGCAGCCCGGGTCACCGCGCAGCACGGGGCGCAGCACGGGTCACCGCGCAGCACGGGTCACAGCACGGGTCACCGCGCAGCACGGGTCACCGCGCAGCACGGGTCACAGCACGGGTCACCGCGCAGCACGGGGCGCAGCACGGGTCACCGCGCAGCACGGGGCGCAGCACGGGGCGCAGCACGGGGCGCAGCACGGGGCGCAGCACGGGGCGCAGCACGGGGCGCAGCACGGGTCACCGCGCAGCACGGGTCACCGCGCAGCAGCATTTCTTTGTTTTTTTGAACAGAAGGTTTCTTACACGTCACGAGCGCTTTACTCCTGCGTGTTTGCGTTTACGCGAGTGCATTTTTCATTAACATGCAGACAAGACTCGTAGAAGCTAATGCCGGAAAAGAGAAGCGTCTTCTTGACTTCAAGCTTTGCGAGAGCGTTTTTCAGTTAAGTGCTTTTGACGGGAAACTCCTCCCCCTCCTGATCGTCCGACTTTAAGACAGAAATCTCTGGATCGTTTAGCGCCAACAGAAAGAGATTCAAAAGTCACCTCCACGCCGCGCTCTGCAGACCGGCTTCTTTTTTTTCCTTTTTTTTTTTTTTGAAGGGGGAGTGGTGTGACACCCGGTCCAAACCACCTCTGACTGGGTGGTCACCTTGGTCGCCGATTCCCAGCGAGCTCGCGGAGCAGAGCGGGGGGGCGGGGCGTCGGGGTCACTTCAGCCGGTCGGATCTGAAGGAGTCCTCGACGGCCGGGTCGGCGAGCATCAGGTCGCCGTCCAGCATGTCCAGAGCCAGCGGGTCCATTCTGAGCGGGTCGTCCAGGGAGAAGGGATCCATCTCGAAGCCGGGGACGTGAGACAGAGCGCTGGCGATCTCTTTTGACAAACCGGGAGGAGAGTCCCCTGCAGGGAGAGGACGGGACACGGGTAAGACTTTTCATTTATTTATCAAAGGAACTGCTTCAAATTGAACACATCAGAATGTTTTTAAAACTACCTAACTAACAAACCAAACAAGTCTTTAAACTTAAAGCGTTTCATTTACATCAACTTTAACTTTTAGTTCAAATCGATTTCTGGACAGTCGAAGAAAAGCAGAAAAAACTTTCAATCAACCCTTTTAGGCTTTAAAGGTCACATGATGCTAAATCCACTTCACCATGTGTCTCTAGTCTACAAACCCCCCAATGATGAAAAGTCCATCCTCTCCGTCTTCTGCCTGCTCCACTTTTCAGAAAATGTGTGCTCAAACAGGCCGTTTGGAGATTTTCCCTTCATGACATCACAAAGGGCAGTAGCCCCTCCCCCAGGTGGGTGACACTCCCACAGCTAGGTGTTTGTTCTGCCCTCTGAGTCTGCCTTCTCACCGTAAACAATAGGACATGGAGCGAGAAAGACCGAGTACACCCAAGCCCTTCCAGAGAGGGGGCGTGGTCAGACACAGCTCATTTACATATTTAAAGGTACAGACACAGAAACAGCCTGTTCTGAGCAGGGCTGAAATAGTTAATGGCTGGATGGAAACCTGGGTGTTATGTTCATGCTTTCAGAGTCAGATGAAACTTAAACTCAGCTACCCTGCACTGAGAAAACTCATAATATGATAACGCAATTCATCATCCTGTTTGTTTTTTTTAGCAGGTCTCATGACCGCTCCCTGGCGCCGACCTGTGAGGATGATGTTGGGCACATTGTGTCGTCCGTCCCCTCCGCCGTAGTTCTGGTTCTGGTTGTTGAGGAGATGCTGGTCTCCGGGCTCCTGCAGCTCCATGGAGCTCTGCGTGTTGGGGGGGTACTGGTTCTTGTCGGTGAGGCTGCAGCCCAGGCCGACGTGATTCAGAGACAGACAATCAGCCTGGTTATCTGCAGAGAACTGGAGCAGAAGAAGAAGAAGAAGATGATGATAGAAGGAAGTACTCTAAAGGTTTGATATGCCTCAACACTGACGGTGTTCCTTACAGGCGCAAAGCATCAAAACGTTTACTTTAAATGTCTTTGAGTTGACCAGCTGGATGTCTGTGAACGATCGGAGAGACAAATCAGACTTTGTTCTTTCTCGGGTTTCAAACATAGCTTTGGCTTTATTTTGGATTTCTAGGAACAAATCCATGAGACAGATTGAACAAGTGTGACAGAAGCTTGAATGATATCAACAATAAGCCTCTGAGATGATCTGAGACAGGAGAAATAACCGTTGAAATAAACCCGTCTCTATGGAACTTGGCCACTGCTACCCGTTGGCTCTCTCTCTCTCTCTCTCTCTCTCTCTCTCTCTCTGTGTGTCTCTCTCTCTGTCTCTCTCTCTCTCTCTGTCTCTCTCTCTCTCTCTGTCTCTCTCTCTCTCTCTCTCTCTCTCTCAGACGTCAGGAAAGACAACAGCCGCTGGCTGTCTCCTTCTGATTCTGTTTGAGGAAAAAGAATCTGATATTTGTGTCCCAGCCCTGCTGAAGTGTTAACACCAAATGATCTCTCCACGCAGCAGGGGATGACATCATACTCCCTTCAGCCAATGACATCATGAGAAAGGTGTGTGTTACCTGCTGGTTGGATTTGCCTGTGAGCTGCAGACTCAGGTACGGGTCGTCCAGCAGAGAGTTGAACAAGGCATCCTGGAAAACATCAACACAGACACTTAAACTCCATCTTTTTCTTTTGCTTTAAAATCTTCCCCTCCCCGTCTTCGCTTGGTTTGTTCTCTTTAAAAGGTTCAGATAAAAAACAGGCAACTGGTCAAATATGGTTTTATATTTACACGTCCTGAAAAATGTGTCCAAATTGCGTCCAAAAAAAAAAACTCCTACATTTAACTAATTTGTCTCGGCTGTCTTGACGCTTTTACCTATTCTAGAATCAAAGACTGTAAATCTGAATGTTTGAAGCCTGAGTGGCGTCCCCCGTCTGTTCCTGCAGGGGGCGCTGGAGTCCCATCGATGGCGCCCCCGTCTGTCCCTGCAGGGGGCGCTGGAGTCCCATCGATGGCGGTCTCCATGCTGGAAATGCTGTCTCAGTCTAACTTTCAGTCAACCTAACGACAGGCTGAGAGCTGGAGCTGAGGCGGGTTTTAAACCTCCTGACAAACCGTTACACCGCGCCCACCTGTCAATCAGGTCAGCTACACGCCTTATTGTGAATAACTCTTATCCTTCATCAAATCAAAACTGATGAGTCATCAAAACATTCACCCCCCGTACAGTGTGTGTCCATCCAGACATGAGCTAATCACACCTATTTGGTTTTTTGAACCAGGCTGTAAACATGTTCATCTCTGCTGTAAAAACAGGCTTTTTAGAATGGGTGTGTATGTGACTTCCTGTGCTTCTGCAGCCAGCCTCTAGTGGACACTCCAGGAACTGCAGGATGTTACACTTCAGCGTCGGCTTCAATTTTAAAGACCAGAGGTTGCTGCCTGATCTGATGCCTAATTTGATGGATATTAAAGACAAACTTAACATTTTTTTCTGCTCCAATTTTTGCATGAGAAGCACAAAGGTATCTCAGAGTGTCTTGGTGTCCTGTAGGCATACAGTACCTCTTGAATGCTGACTGTGTGTGACGACACTCTCTAACAGTGAAATCTCTGTGTTTCAAAGTGATTAATTGCGGGTAATCCCCTGAGGTTGAAACATTAGAGGCAGGGATGCCTCACGGTGAGTCCGGCCTGTTTTATTCTGAATGAGAGCTCAGATATCTGAGTCCCTGTGAGCACAAAGACGTCTCTTCAGCAGACCTCTAAATATAACATCAGGTGCTGATCCTCCTTCACTTCATCTCAATAATGTCACGCTACGGTTGTCACGACAACAGATTTTTTAACCTCAGTAACATAATAAAAAAGAATAATGATATCGAGTCCAGTTTCAAAACAACGGCACATTTTTTCTCAAGTCCTTCGCACCCCATTTTGCGTAATTCTTATTTTTAAAGGAGCAGTATGTAACTCTGACCCCTGGTGTTTAAAATGGGTACTGCAGTCTAAACATCATAGAGAGCTGTCTCCCCCCCCCCCTCACTCAGGTCACCATGTGGTGGACTCTGAAGCTTCAGTGTTTATCCAGCTCTGCATGGGTCTGTAAACCTTTCTGTGTTCTAACCTCTCTCCATTTTTCAAAAGCATCTCCAATATTGATCCTAGTTTGAGCACGTTTCTGCTCGTGGAGCTTATTAGAAACATGCAGAGGCTTTTTAGGTCGGGTACAATCACTTCTATCTGAACCACTTCTCTTGACCGCTTCCATCGCTGCAACACCTGTTGACCTGATAACTGCTCTCATATCTGACAAACCGAGGGGCGTCCAAAACGGCCGTGTGGGGGCGTGTCTTAAAATGGCTAGGTGGCCCTTCCCACTTACAGGGGCATAATAACACACTGTCGAGAAGGAGAACCAAAGGACAGACTCTTATGACCTACAAAGACGAACAGAACAACTGAACCAGCTGTGAGATGAATATCGTTACTTCAGACCGATCACAGAATCTTGTTTACTTCTTTTTTTTGGCACTCGTCTGCCTCCGTCTCTGCAAGTAAAACAGAACTGAGGAGCAGGGGGAAGTGTGGAGACAAATTCCAAGCAAGATGCGACCTTTTCTTCCCTATATCAGGGTCAGACTCTGAATCACTCAAACGTCTTTAACCTTTTGAACCACTGAGTCAGATCACCAGAGAGGAGGTCAAACCTCTGCGCCCGCTCATCGACATTTCTTTAAAATACAAATGAAGGTTAAACCAAATTGTGTACTTAAGTGGTAGCAACAATGATTGAATGTTGTAAATAGTTTACATGGCATCTTCAGCAACATGTATTCTGTGTGATTATGTGAAGATAAGTGAAACACGTTGGCAGTAAATCAGCAGAGATGTCTGACTGAACTGAACCCGTTTGTTCAGGCACAGAGCGATAACACCAAACACGACCAAATTCATAAAAAATGATTCAATCAGGTAATCTAATGAGACCTTTCCACTCACTGAAAATAATGCAAAGGAATCTGCAGAAGACACAGTGTGTGTCTGTGTGAGAGCAGAAGAGATTAAAGCTGCTTAAGTAACAAAGTCATTAAGCACAGGCGCTCCTGTTGTTGCTGTTTTCTCTCCCCACAGATTCAGCTTCATGCCTGTGATGAGGGGGATTTCCTGTAGTGATACATCATTTATTTTGGTGTTTTCAGAGCGTTCAGTGTTTATCAAAAACACTGAGTGCATGCTTCATACAGATTGATGCGACGGCTTCGGAGCGCCCGAAGACACCGAGGCCGCACAGACTGAAGATTCTTTATGTGAGAAGTCGACGATGTTACGGTAACTGTTCACATACTCGAATAAATAAAAGTGTGGGACTGTGTTGATGATTTTTGCATTGCAGATAAAAAGAAAAAACCCTGAGGGCAGGTTTCATAAGTTGATGAGATCAGACACTTAAGATGTTATGAGGAATGATTTTACTGCCATGACAGTTGCTAAGGTTACGGGGGTCAAATACAGATTATTGTCATGATTCATATCTTTAGTCCAATGTGAGGTATTCATATTTATATGACCGACACTTTGGTTCACTTCAACTCGTCTACAGAGGTTTATCGGGCCCCTGACTAGATCCAGAAGGATTTATCTTCCAGGAATCAGATTTTTTTATTTATTTGGTGAACTTGTGACTTCACAATTGGGTCTTTTTTTAACCCCCAAAACATCAAAAATGAAATCAAGAGATTGTCATGAATCAGTCAGTCTGATCCTGCCAACACTTATAAAAGATCATTTATCTGTGTGACCTGTAGGGGGCAGGAGCAGGGCTTGAGATGAACCAACCTGAACCTCCACAGCAGCAGCAGCAGCAGTGAGTGTTTCTGTGTGTTGTTGTTGTTGTTGTTGTTGCTGTTGTTGTTGTTACTCACATTGTAGAGGTCTGTAGCCATCTGTTGGAGCTGAGGGAGGCCCCCGCCCCTCTGCTGCTCTGCCTGAAGCTCCGCCTCCTGTTTGACGTGACACTGAGAGGACGACAGGCTCTGCACACACTGATCCATCGCCCTCTCGTTCTTTATGAGCTGCGCGTTCGCCGTGTTCACCTGCTGCCCCATCGGCCTCTGCTGCACGGACACAAACGCATCATTTCATCACACAGAAACTTCAGAAACCAATAAACCCGGATCAATCTAGATATTTGTGGCATGTGGTATCTACCGTTACAAAGTGCTGCTGCATGTGCTGGTTGTGTGTGTTGCGGAGGTTCTGCAGGTGGAGCTGCTGCATGGCCTGTGACTGCTGCTGCTGCAGCTGAGCGTTGGGTCTCTGCTGCTGCTGCTGCTGGAGGCGGAGCAGCTGCTGGTGGCTGTGCTGGCTCAGCTGAGGGGGCTGCTGACCCTGCTGGGAGCCCTGCAGGTCGGGGTGAGGCTGGTGGGAGCCCGGCTGGTGCTGGTGGGACTGGCTGAGCGGGTACGGAGGAAGCCTCTGGTCCAGAGGCAGTTTGCTGGTGTCCAGAGGGACGCCCTGTTGGAGGTTAAGGTTGGATGTTAGCAGCAGACTCACAGGGAACACTAAACAGGTGAAAAGAGTTTTAAACTGCTTCAACCAGAAGCAGTCCTCCTGAGATTATCGAGATACTTTCAGGAGTGAAGATGTGAAAACAACCTGGGTTGTCTTTAAAAAAAGAGGCTCAGAAATGATTTCTTTTTGGCTTTTTAAAAAGCAGATCTGAAGTGACATCGCGTCTTCTGTTGAGATAAAAATCAGGTAGAAATGAAGCGGCCAAGTGTGGAAGTCAAACCTGCATCCAGAACTTAGCCGCTACACCCTGGGCACCTAGTCTAACTACTGCTTAAAACACCTAAATCAACAATTACAAAAAACTAAACCTACTGATGGAAAATAACTGAATTTGTGGGTGGAGTGTGGAGGCTTTGAAGATAGCCATGTGGTGGCTGTTTCTGGTGAAAATAAAAAGGATCTGAACTTTGTAGGAAGAGGTTTCTTTCTGAAGGAAATCTGTCTGTGTGTCACAGCTGGACATATTGAAACCATCACTGATATTAAGTTAAGCTGCTTTAAGAAGCGTTTTAATCGTAGTTTTTCAATAACAAAAACACACAACAGGGACGATTATTTTCTTATTTTTCCTGTTGGGTCGGTTTGTTTTACGCAGCATGAAATCCTGATCTGCCTGAAAGGGTTTTCCACGCTCTGTTCCTGAAAGAGTTTGGATAAGTGAAGCAACCTAAGGATGAGCGACAGAAGAGGAAATCCTTTTCGCTAAAAGAGAACACTACATCTTTCTTTTCCTCCCGCTGAAACCACGAGTGACTGTAAGTCCCTGGAGGAATTCATTTTAAAGAGAGTGAAAGGTTTCCTGCAGCGTGGCAGAAATACTCTGTTTACAGCACGCTCAGACGCCCGAGGACTAACCTTCAGCATGTAGCACACTTTATGAATATAGTGTGAAAGTCCTAGTTAGTTAGCACTCTTTGTGAATTATGAAAAATGATTTTAGGAATCTCTGTGCCATTGTAACTATTAGAAACTCCCTAAAAATAAACCTTGACTTCTTCTCAAAAGAGATTTAAAACACTTATATGAACAAGCTTTTCTTCATGATTTGGCTTATTTTGATTGGATTTAAATGTCTCTCTTTTAGGGCTTTCACATGTGCAGAAACCTCCAGATGTTCTCACTCTGAGCGTCATGTGATCACTCAAACATCTGAATGTTTCTCTCTTCACTCTGAGCGTCATGTGATCACTCAAACATCTGAATGTTTCTCTCTTCACTCTGAGCGTCATGTGATCACTCAAACATCTGAATGTTTCTCTCTTCACTCTGAGTTTCTCCTCCAGCCTCCTCATGTTTATTCTGCAGAAAGTCAGAGTGAGCTGATGTGAGAACACAGCAGGATATAATCAGGAGAATTCACCTGGAGCCAGTGGGAGGGGCCAGTGGGAGGGGCCAGTGGGAGGGGCCAGTGGGAGGGGGTGGTGACCTTTATTCCCTGTGATCGCTGCACGACCATAGACTGTCTGCACGCCACCTCTACCATCTCAAACATGTCCTTAAGGCTCTAACCCCGGGGGGGAAGTTCCTGCAGCTTAAATATTCAGCCTACAGTTTTGTTTTGTAACATGTTTAAATGAAGTCTGAAGCCTTTTTCATGCATGCACTCCTCACAGTATAAAGAAAGATAGCTATACAGTTTCATGAAACGAAGGTTAGCAGTATTTTCAGATACGTCTGATTTGAAGTTTGAAGAAAAAGGATCATTTGTGTGTTTTATTTACAGCGAGCGACTGCTGCTGTGTGGTTGTTGTTACCTGCGTGATGGAGGACAGGGTGGGGGAGATGGTGGGGGAGAACTGTTTGGAGTGATGCCTCCGAGCCTCCCCTCCCATGGGCAGGATGAGCGGGGAGAGCTGCGCCCGTCTCCGCGGCGACGTGCTGAGCGATGGCTGGCCCTGCCCGCTCAGCAGCGGCGAGTAAGAGGAGCAGGAGGATCCAGAGCCGCCCACGCCGCCGCCGCCGCCGTAGCTGGGGTTACTGCTGGACACCGACTGAAGGGAGGAGTTGCTGAGGGAGGAGTGCAGCGATTGGCTGCTGAGGGAGGACTGCAGGGAGGGGGAGGAGCTTAAGGAGGACTGCAGGGAGGGGTTGCTGAGCGACGAGTGCAGGGACGCAGAGCTCAAAGAGTTGGAGAAGGAGTGGCTGCTGAGCGAGGACTGGATGTTGGGGTTGCTTAGCGATGACTGCAGGGAGGGGTTACTGAGCGTGCTCTGTAGAGACGCCATGAGACCTGAGGAGGGAAAAAAAAAAAAAAGAACACAATTGTACTCTCGACATCCACAGAGAAAACACGGACACACAATAATAATTATGCAATCGATTTCAGTCATCTTGATGTTTTTTCCTTCAGACATCAGGACAGGAAGCTCGTTCAAACAATTCATTTATATTTCAATCTGTCGTGTGTTGAGCTGCTCCACCACAGAGAAAATACACATCATCTTTCAGTTCAGTTTCAATTCCTTCAACTCATGTAGAATTTAATATTCTTTAGTGTGTGGGGTGAGAGCAACCCCCCCCCCCCGGTCTGCGTTCACATTAGTAGCACCGTCCCCGAGTACACAGTTCACAGTCCGGTACAGCAGGTGACAGCATGCACATCTGCCAAAAGGCAGAAAGAAAAAGAAGTAACCATGGCAACCACTCGCTAGCTGAGTCCATCCTGCTAACTGTGGATGTTTTTGTTTATTTCTGAGACGCCAACAACGACCGTCTTCCTACATCGACATCTACGACATCTACATCTACCGTGCAGCTCAGAGGATGAAACCGGCCGTGCTGCACGGATACAACATTTTATTTATTTACATTTTTCTTCAGAGCAAAATTGAAACATGTTTTGCCTACAAAGGAGAGCAACTAACATCAGCAAAGACACAACACACCCAGGAGACAGACTGTTTGTCCCCCTACCTTCTGAAAAGAGGTATTGCATCATTAGAACCAGGACTAACAGACTGTTGTTCACCTCAACAACAAACTGGACTGGTCACACAACACAGACGTCCTGTACAAGAAGGGCCAAAGTTGACTTCACCTGCTGAGGAGACTGAGGCCCTTTGGAGTGTGCAGGATTCTGTTAAGGACCTTTTATGACACTGTGGTGGTCTGCACTTTTCTATGCAGTGGTCTGCTGGGGAGGAGGGAGCACAGAGAGAGACAGGAAGAGACTGAACAGACTGGGCAGGAGGGCCAGTTCTGTCTTGGACTGTCCTCTGGACTCTGTACAGGAGGTGGGTGAGAGGAGGATGTTAGTGAAGCTGACATCCATCATGGACAACCCCTCTCAACCCCTGCATGACACTGTGGGGGCCCTGTGGGGGCCCTGTGGGGGACCTGAGCAGCTCCTTCAGCAGCAGACTGAGACACCCACCCTGCAAGACAGAGCGCTACCGCAGGTCGTTCATCCCATCTGAAGTCAGACTGTTTAATCAGACTGTTTCATCAGACTGTTTCATCAGACTGTTTAATCAGACTGTTTCATCAGACTGTTTAATCAGACTGTTTGATCAGACTGTTTCATCAGACTGTTTGATCAGACTGTTTGATCAGACTGTTTGATCAGACTGTTTGATCAGACTGTTTGATCAGACTGTTTAATCAGACTGTTTAATCAGACTGTTTGATCAGACTGTTTCATCAGACTGTTTGATCAGACTGTTTAATCAGACTGTTTAATCAGACTGTTTCATCAGACTGTTTAATCAGACTGTTTCATCAGACTGTTTAATCAGACTGTTTAATCAGACTGTTTAATCAGACTGTTTCATCAGACTGTTTAATCAGACTGTTTAATCAGACTGTTTCATCAGACTGTTTAATCAGACTGTTTCATCAGACTGTTTAATCAGACTGTTTCATCAGACTGTTTAATCAGACTGTTTCATCAGACTGTTTAATCAGACTGTTTAATCAGACTGTTTAATCAGACTGTTTAATCAGACTGTTTAATCAGACTGTTTCATCAGACTGTTTAATCAGACTGTTTCATCAGACTGTTTAATCAGACTGTTTCATCAGACTGTTTAATCAGACTGTTTCATCAGACTGTTTAATCAGACTGTTTCATCAGACTGTTTCATCAGACTGTTTCATCAGACTGTTTCATCAGACTGTTTAATCAGACTGTTTAATCAGACTGTTTCATCAGACTGTTTAATCAGACTGT